TATAAGTACTTGTGTGCAAACTTCAACTACTCCAACATGCTGAGAGAAGAAATACAATCTACAATACACTCTGGAAATAAAGTATACCCTTCAACATCTGCTAAAGTCAAAGTGTCTGTCTCACAACACCAAGATCAAAATATATAAAACGTTGAAAAGATCAGTCATTTTTTTATGGCTCTGAAACTTGGAAAACAACTAAAAGAGATGAAGCCACATTACAGGTTTTCAAAAACAGAGTCTTATGATGAATCTTTTACCCATCAAAATGCAAACAGCAGGGAATGGAAAGTGAGAAGCAATAATGAAATTCATAATCTGTTTAAATCACCACTGATCACTGGCATCATGAGAGCTAATAGACTTAAATGGTTGGGGCAGATTGAAAGAATGTCAGATGACAGAGAAGACAAAACTGTATACACAAGGGAGATTCATAGACCACAAGACAGACCAAGAACATGAAGAGATAATGTCCAGACAAACCTGCAAACACTTGGTGTCACCAACTGGAAAGAGAAGGCCAACCAGAGAGAGCAATGGAGGCTGGTGATAATGCAGCAATGAACCTCAAGGGCTCGAATGCTGAAGAAGAAGAAGAAGAATGTCTGACTGTGAGGACGATGATGGCAGGTGAATACGATATTGAATCAGACAGATGATTTTGGTGCCTGTTTGGGCGACATGCTTTGCTTCAGGTAGGGCATTTTCTATGTTGGCCACAATAAAATTAGTTTCATTATTAAATTGTTGGACTGTGTATAACAGCAACAATGACATAATAGCCACACACTATTGTGCCAACAGTTTACAAAATAACAGAGCAAAAAACGGTTTAATTCCTTGGGAAGTGAATCAGATATCTAGCCTCCTCAGATAATGTGAAAATATACAAGGTCCTGCATGCATAAAGTTCACATTAAAGCTTCTTCCTCAGCAGTGTGAAATCATGAAATTAAAAACATTTGAAAAACAACCCACAAAATAATATAGATATCTTCATCTCTGGTGTCGCTGTGGAAATCAAGGGGAAACACCTATAAAGCTACATGTACACATGTGTATAATGAGGGGACATGTTGCTGAAACATTCTAGCCTTGTGATGAAATAACCTCATCAAACATAATTACAACACTAGTGTGGATTCCCTGAGGCACAGCCAACAAGGTAGCTCACACAGGATCAAACATAGCCCAGCCACAGCTGCATGCCAATACTCTATCTCACAGATGTCAGACACAGATAATAGCAACAAAATGCCTATGACTTCTTTAATAAACAATATACTGCAATAAAACCTCCGCTAAACCAACAGAATAATTACAATGATAATGCTTTTAAGTAAAAAAAAAGCAACAACAATTAAAAAAAATACAACAAATAATGCCAGAATTGAGCAACCATCAACCAGATGTTGTCTCCACAAGAAATGCTGACTGCATTCACACTGTTGTCTCTAGAGCAATGGCCCCCAACCCCCTCCCTCATAAGGTGGTGGGGACAAAGTTTCAAGGAGAGCGAGAGTCAAGTAATTTTGAAACTGAGTGCATTTGTGTGCAATCAAAACAACACTGCCAACTTTACGAGAAGAGTGTTCTTCATCATGTCTTGGTCCAACAGACAAAATAGCAGGTATGAAGGTCAAAACAGTGTCAGCCATCACATTGATATTTGGATACGACATTATCAGTTAAGTTAGTGACTGCTTCTTTTGCTCTTGTTGCTTGACATTTTGATTTATGTGCATGTTTCCACCCAAGTTTTTGTTAACAGTACTAGAAATACATTTTTAATGAATGGGTGGAGTGGAGGGAGGTCTTGCCATATACTCGGGGTGGCTGGGGGAGAGGGGGAGGGGGTGTTGGCTGAAAAAGTTTAGAAACCACTGCTTTAGAGAATAACAACAACAGCTTCTTTATAGTACGGAATACATAAAAACACAATAATAACTACAACTACAGCATACAAATTCTTCAGCTACAGTATAATAATAACAAAGGCTGCTACCCATGTAAAAGAGACAGTAAGAAAAATGACATGAAAAGAGCATCATTTATATTACTTAAAAATTTAAAAAAAAAACAATAGCCATCGCTCTATCCTTACAGACATAATGACAAAAATTACAGTGACTTTCATCTCTGCTTCTCATTCTACATGCCATGTGACAGTAGTCATGACCGTCCACAACCTGTCTCTGGTACTTCCTATCATTTTTGACACAGATGACCTTCTATGCCAGTAGTTCTCAAACTGTTCTGTGTTGGTTTCTTATTCTTCTTTGGCTTCCTGCATATTGCTCTTGTCTGGCCACAGCCCTTTTAAGACGTTCTTGCAGTCCTATCATTGTTGCAGATTCACAGTTATCACTTGGTTCTCGCAAATGTCTTACTTCGCGTAGAGTGTTTATAATATCAGCATGGTCCGTGGCTCGTCCGCCCTCCACAGCAGCTTTACCTGCAAGTCCATCAGCTCACTCATTTCCTTGCACGCCTGCGTGGTACAATAACCCACTTAACATCCAACTGTCACATTAACTCTGTCTCCTGGTATTATTTTTTTAAATATTTCAGGAACATTTATTATTACAACTTTTTAGGATATAACAATTAAAAGTAACACTAACCTGGGACTGAAAGAGAAGCAAAAGTAACCACTACACAATCCTACAAGTGTACTTCACTGTGTATAAGTATTACGATTTCAGGTGATCAGTCCCTACAGTGACATACAAAAATGCACCCATCACCAAAAAAAAAAAAGCCCCTTCAGCAGCACATAACTAAAATATATATCCACACACTAAATATATTCAGAAATGTAAATAATGCAGACACAAACAATACATTACACTATTTACTACCTCGAATATTCCTCTGTTATCTCGTCAGATGTGTTACTATAGTTATATCAACATATAATGAAGGACAACAACACAATAAATTTCACAGAAATGTGAATGGTTGCTCTCGATACACTGTGTTTCTCTAGTCACCAGAAGTTCACTGTAAGCAGTGACTACAGCAAAATATGCCTGGCAATAAACTGTGCAATGTACTCTGTGTGTGTCCGCATTATTTAAATTCATTACAGGTAAACAGAGTGTGGAATATTCAAAAAATGATGAAAAAGACAGTTTCAATAATGCTGATAAGGATGACCCTCCCCAGTAGCCTCTTATGACATGCAAAGTAGGTTATGGTCACTATTCTTTGCTAGCATTCTAGGCAACCCTCTTGTGTGGATACTGTATTTAAACTAATTACTGCTTTGATGGTCCATGGTCTTGGGTTATTTGTTACTATACATTTCTGCTCCGATTGTTACATGTTTCTGTTTTGTTAATTCACTTGTTCATGTCCTAGTTGTTACTTAAAATTTCAGTTCTATTTGCTACTTCACAGAATTTAATTAACAGGCTTCTGTCCTAATTATTTCATACTTTGTTCTAGTCATTACTTCACAAGCTTTTTTTTTCTGTGGGAAAATCAATGAATTTGGAATAGTTGTTAGTTACTTCTGTGCATATTTCTGTCCTAGCTGTCACATGAATTCAGAATAGTTGTTAGTTACTTCTGTGCATATTTCTGTCCTAGCTGTCACATGAATTCGGAATAGTTGTAAGTTACTTCTGTGCATATTTCTGTCCTAGCTTCACATGAATTCAAAATAGTTGTTAGTTACTTCTGTGTATATTTCTGCCCCAGCTGTCACCCTATTTTACGATAACTGTTACTTCATGTTTTCGTCCAAGAACTTAATTTGTATGTTTCTGCCCTATAAAAGTCTTTACCTTCTTCAGCTCCAGGCTGTGAATTCCAATATGACCCAGAGAGTTTCAAATTGTAGTCAAATAATTGGTTATCCCAGATCTACAGAGTGAATAGTAAAATATTAAGGTGATGGGCTATCCTCCGAATAACGGTCCCAAATTATAGAAGCTAAGAAAATACCCTAACAGGGCCTCAATCATATGTAAATTGCGTACTTCTTTTCGGTGAATATACCACATACCGCCGGAAACACTCCTACGAATAACAGTCCCAAATCATTGATGGTGTAAACAGCTCCGACACTGAATGCTAGGTTTAACTTCTCCCCTGAGTCCTAGGTTTAACTTCTACCCTGGGTCTAAGGGTTACGGCCAGAAGTATTACAATTACGACACCGCCACCACAATCTGTCACAACAGTGGAAATGCGACACTATCAAATGAAGGGTTATGGATGGAACTTATGCGGACGGGACGTTACCACGGCGGAACTAGTTGCGCATTGTCTACTGAATCTTTAGCAGTTTCCTGGCGGCACAGTCATCAGCATTGAGGCCCTGTTAGGGTATTTTCTTGAAGCCTCGATAATTTGGAACCGTTATTCAGAAGATAGCCAGGTGATGTATATTTCTGTATACGTATACATAACCTCTACATGTCTTATATCTTCGTCTTCTCTGCCTTCACCCTTAGAAAATAAAATTAAAAAGCTGTTGGTTGCTGCATCATGGTTTATAGCTAGGCTGTGATTTCTTTTGGCCCAAAACAAGCAAGCCCTTAATTTGTTGTCTTTTATGATATGCTTTTTAAGGAGCCAGTGGATCTATTCTTCCCCTCACCCAAAAGGGGCCTCAAAACCCATACAGGGAATGTCTTATATTTACAGATTTCCTCTTGTCTGGCCTGCAGATGCTAGAACAATAATTGTAATCTTTACTCAACAAAAAGGAAACATTTAATGCCCAGTACATATTTTAGAGATTTCAGTAAACCTGAGGTTCTTCAGGAAACATTTGGTAAACTTTACACCTTCAATAAACAGTGCCATTTCCAGTAAACACTGGGTAAACTCATGATCCACAGTAAACACTGTGTAAACCTGAGTGTCTTCGGTAAACATCTGGTAAATTTTATCTGCAGTAAACAATAGGATAAACTTCAGGATCTTCAGTTTAAAAAGTGCATATACTTTAAAGTCTTGTTTCATCCGAGATGTACCACCATTAGTTATCCCAAAGCTTGCTTGATATCATGTTCAAACAGAGCAATGACCAACATGATGCCACTGCCCAGCAGGATCCCAAGCACTTGCAGCAACAAATGAAGGAAGGGGTTCTCGCCTTTTTTGGGATCAACAGAACTCATCTCCGGCAACTGCGTTGAAAAAAATTATTATATTAATACAGTAAAGCAATCAGGAAATGCACACATGACATTTATAGTGCATATGATGAAACTGGAAGAGAGACATTATAAAGGGAATATAACTGGTAATTGGAGCAAAGAAAGGAGAAAGATATGGAAAGCTTAATCAGATGGGCAACAAATCAACACACAAATACATTTTCTTCTTCGTGTTCACCCACTGTAAACTCTGACCGAAAGTTCTTGTGGTTCGTGGGTGTAAACTCTGACCGAAAGTTCTTGTGGTTCGTCCACATCTGGATTCTAGTCCGGTTCCAGAACCTAAGCATTGTATGAACATCAGTTTTACAGTTCTGACTCATTTATATGCAAATGTTGGTTCCTTTCCTCTCAGGCTTCAAAGGAAACTTCAAATTAGTTGACTGATATGACATGCTTTTTTGGGTAGGTAGTGGGTCTATTCTTGTTTTCTGCAAAATGGGGTCCCAGAACCCATACAGGGAATAAATACATAACTCCATTAACAATATTGTAGGACAGAAATTAATTAACAGTTGTGATGCTCACTGTTTACTCCTACCCAAGCACATGTGAGAAACAGAAGGGTAATCTTAACTTGTTTAATAATCTACAAAGGCTGAATCATATAGCACAAACCAGTCTGAGTCCTAAAATGCATCCACTGTAAACATTTTTTTATCTTCCTCATACCCCACTGGAAACATAGACATGGAACATCCACAAATTAAGCTTTCTTCTTCTGCATTCAACCCAAAAGAGGCAATTGGCACACACTGTCATGGTTTACAACTAGGCCGTAATATCTGCCCCTTTGTGCCCACCACAACCAATTTCAGGAAACCCTAAATTTGTCACCTTTTACAGCAAGTTTGTTAAGGGGTAGTGCATCAATTATCTCCCCAAAAAAGGGGAAATAACTTTTCTACTCTGAAATGTTTTGCAGTTTGCTTCATGTCTTCCCTAATTAAATCCTCTTTTATTTAATTCTTGAAATTATAGCCTCTAACGTATAATTAGTTATGCTAATATATTTTTTCTTGTTTTTTTGTTTTTTAACATTTGCTTAAACCATGAAACAATAACCGACTCACCATATCCACAAGAGCAATGTATAAAAACATGCCCCCCACAGCAGCAAAGATCCACAGTGAAGCAGATGATATATTGCCCACAGCAACACCAATTAACATACCAACGAAACACAGTAATGACGACAAACAATTGTAGAGAACAGCCTGCTTCGCTGGCATCCCAGCTCTCAACAACACAGCAAAGTCTCCTGGGTAATAAAAACAAACAAGATTAAAATCAAATATGGTGTCAAATGTAACTGTATATACGTCATTGTAAATTCTCACAATACTTTGCACGTAGCACACATTTTAAAAAACAAATTACAGAGCATCATCAAAAATGTGCTCCACAATCAATCGGGAAATTTTAAAAAAAAACAAATTACACAGCATCATCAAAAATGTGCTCCACAATCAATCGGGAAGCAATATGTGTCATCAATGGGAGACATTTTTCCCCCAAAATGGCAGTCAATTCACATGGATGGTATTTGACAACAGGAAAAGACATGTACTGAAGCTCATGGTACACATTTTCAATAACTTTTATGATTAATATTTTACTGGTTTTTACGGCTTTCGAAAAATAGTGTGAGACCACACTTGTGTTGTAAGAAATGTACTGACTTCTTTAAAGTATATTTTTGTTAATGATGTCACGTATTTCGTTGTCAAACATTTATTATGTAAACAAAAGACTAACATATTGTTCTAGAGCACATACACGGGGTCTAAAAACAATATGACTTTCACAATTCTGGATTTTCTCTGCCAAAAAATCCAACTGAATATGTCAATATCTCTCTCACTCTCTCTTTCTGTGTGTGTGCGCACTCGCGTGCGTGCCTGAAATTACCTTTCTTAAGTGTTAAACCCTTTTTAGTAGTTATGAAAACACACATTAAAAATCCAGCTCTTTGTTGCTGTTGTTGGAAAAATGGATTGCTCACCAATTTCATGTGGTAACTCATGGCAGAATACGGCAACAGACGTGCTGAATCCACCAGTGATACTGTTGGCAAAGGCAGCCCCAATAGCCAACCCATCACTAAAATTGTGGATACCATCACCTGAAGACACATAAACAATGCAGTTAGACAAGAGGGGTATCATTAAATGGGATGAAAGGTGCATCACTACATGTGGTGTCTGCGTGTCAGGACCAGAGCTCAAACTGACAAGGCCCTATCTACATCTTGTCAGGGTCACACTAGAAACAGGTTCCCTACCAGAGGCCTGGCCAAAATTGAATGAATCAACATTATGCTTTCAAGTGCACCTGCCTGAGAAGTGAAGAATCAACAGTCTGCATACAATTAGCCAGATCTTTGAAACACATCAGCTAATTCCCCGTACAAGACCAAAGTCCAGATATAAACAAGACTTTGCTGGAGTTTGCAGCACACCTACGCAGAAGAAGAATATAATTAAATATTTCACTCTTGAATCTAATGGGAATGAAGAATTTTAGAAACCAAACAGTATTGACAGAAAAGCCATCAACTAATAAAATAAAGTGACTTCTTGTCTTAGACCCTCTGACTTGAATAAAACAAAGAGCACACATTGCTTTGATTAGGGGCCTTATAAATAGGGGAAAATCAGATAAATGAACAGCAGAATATAAAATAACAAGTCACACTTCTGTTCTGCATAGATGAGCAGGTTTTGTACTGGGGAAGTGCAGCAGAGGGGGATAAAGCTACTAAGGAGGTTTGGTTTGAAACTGTCTACCTCATAATTTGCTGAAAAATGTAACCAAACGTAAACATGCATGACAATACAGGGCTGGGCGTGAGCTGGTAAAAAATTTATGCTGTAACAGTAGATGCAATCAAAAAGAAGATAAAGGGGAGGAAGAAGAGAAGGAGTGAGAAAGAATAGAAGGAAAAACAAAACCAAACAAATGGTTAAAAAGGGAAAAAAGTTGTAAAATACACCAATTATTATTTGACCTATTAAATTGGACAAGCAGGAAACTAGGACTAACAAACTTTACCTAGAATAACCATCCATGCAACAGCCGCTACAGAATTGGGCACAGCATGAGCATGACCATGTGAGCCGTGGGAATGGCTGAAACCAATGGTGCTATCAACAAGGGATGTCTCCATCAGTTCCACCTCGGCATCTCCCGCTGCCCCTGGGTTCTTGGCATCCTCTGATTTCACACTGTTGAAATCCTCACTACACTGGTGCATGAATTCTTCATGGGCTGCATCCGCATAGCTTTTCAATGCTGCAAGTGGAATGGCAAAAATATTACATAATTACCTACAAAAAACTATGGGGAACAGAAACTGGTTACAATCATCCTCACCATACAGACTGGTTGAACAGAGACTGGTTACTTTCATCCCCTACATAAAACTATGAGAACAGAGATTGGTTATTTTTATCACTAACATAAAACTACGGGGAACAGAGATGGGTTACTTTCATCACCTAAATAAAATTATAGAGAACAGAGATTATAATAGTAGAAACTGGTTGAATTCATCACCTACCTAAAACTATGGCAACAGAAAGTGGTTACATTTGACATTTACATAAAACTAGGACAGTAGAAACTGGCTGAATTCATCACCTTCATCAGGGATATTCAACTGGTGGCCCATGGGCAAAATCTGGCCACGAAGGCCTAGCAAGTGGCCTGCAGATCACTGCCATTTATATTCTACTGATATTTTTATGCTAGGGCTCAGGCATCTGGCCCGTGTTGATCCTTGTTTTCAAAATCTTGGCCTCTTGGTAAACTTAGTTGAATAACCCTGACCTACATAAATCTATGGTAGCAGAAACTGGCTAAATTCGTCTTTCACATAAAACTATGGCAGCAGAAACTGGCTGATTTCATAAGTTACATAAAACTATGGCAGTAGAAACTGCCTGATTTCATAAGTTACATAAAACTATGGCAGCAGAAACTGGTTAAATTCATCATTTACATAAAACTATGGCAGCAGAAACTGGTTGAATTCATCATTTACATAAAACTATGGCAGCAGAAACTGGTTGAATTCATCATTTACATAAAACTATGGCAGCAGAAACTGGTTGAATTTATTACATAAATCTATGGCAGTAGAAACTAGGGAATTCATCACCAGCATAAAACTGTAAATAACAAACTGGTGAATTCCTCATCCATATAAAACTATGATTGTGAAAACTGGTTAAACAATTTTTTGAAAGGGCAAATAAAATTACATAAACTACCTGCATAAAACCTTTCAGACTTATTTTTCACTTATTCTGTTTTATATGTAAACTAGACATTTTTAAAACAAATGTAAGTACTTTTCCAGCTTTCCAGCAAAATTCTTTCCTTATGAAAAGATAATGCTATGCATTTTTTTTTAAATTACCATATTTTTCATAATCTTGAGCTAAATAAGAGGGTGCTAAAATGTTACATAGAACCTGTTCTGTTGTATGGCAGCGAATCTTGGAATGTCAGTGAACAAATTAGGAAGAATTTGGAAGCAACGGAGATGTGGTTTTTGAGACGAATACCTCGGATGGCCACAGTAACTCACAATGATTGCTTGAAAGTAACTAATAAAATCAGATCTCTATATACAAAAATAAGGAAGAGACAAACACTGTTCTTTAGCCACATAATGAGAAGAGAAACATTGGAGAACATCGTGACAACTGGAAAGATTAGTGGAAAAAGAAGTAGAGGCAGACCAAGAGAGATGATGCTGGATGGCATGGAGAGACCTCATCAAGAGAGCTGTTCCAGGCAACCAGGGATCGTGATCTGTGGAGATGCATGAGCGCCTACACCAGTTGGCAGGGCACATGATGATGATGATGAGCTAAATATTCTGAGCCAGATCCTAGCTGAGTATGAAACTTTCACAACTGCTCTGTGCTATAATTATGGTTGATAAGGCTTATACTGAAAGTCTTTGAAATTACTGTGGTCTGTTTGGTGTGTTAGAAACCTGTTCAGCAACAATCTACTATTAAAAGAACCACAATTTAAAAGCTATACTTCTTTTCTCCATACTTCTGCTGGTGCTAATGAGTTTGTTTATCAGTGAATTCATTTTGTGATGAAGCCAAGCTAAATATTTTAATATCAATGGACGAGAAGGAGAATGAGGACTGGGTACAAGCAGGCTAGATAAAATATTTTAAGCAAGGATCTTGTTATAAGAAACAAACTAAAAAAAGTAATACAATCTGCTGTAATATTATCCTAATTTAGTAGTTGTTTGCTCCAAATACATAGGAGAGTCTTGAAACAAAAAATTGTTCATCTGTAGAGACATTAAAACGTCTGGAGCAAACACTTGGCAGCTGAACAAGATATGTGATGCTGCAGATCCATCATTGGATATAATACAATACTATTTTATTTTATCAAAATTCAAACAGTTGTAACAAGCGAGCACCAGTAACATGATAAGCTCAAGAAGCAAGTTCTTAACAGCAGCCTATTCTTTTAAGCTTCTTAAAAAAGCAGTAAAAAATATACACCCAATAGTAACTTCCACCTCATTAAAGTTTGACTAGTGCTTAAACAATTTCATCACTTCATTTACTGCACCATGTAAAAAAAAAAGCAAAACAAAAACAACAAAAAAGTTGTTTTTCAATTTAACCAAAATCCTTTTCAGGTTTTTTTTATTTATTTATTGTTTAATTATCTCCAGAATAAACTAGTTATTTATCTATTTAACCACTGACCCATTATTAATTTAAGCTTGTAATTGATCTGTCTGAGGGAACCCTATAGTGTTTATACTTAGATGGCAGTTCTTAAGAAAATTTAAACTTGGCTCCCAGGTTGACCAAGCGTAAATAAAATGGGTACCAGGTACATTTCTGGGAAGCAAAGGCAAACAGTGTGATGCCGACATAAACCCCCAAGGGCTGACTGGTCTATATAAATGAGTCTAGAATCGTATGCCCTATGCACCTATAATAGCTTAATAGTAAGGGCCCTTGTACTTTAACGGTTTAACCACTTTCTTTAATAAACTAGTATACTGTTCACAAACAGAAATGCATAGATTTCCAATGGTACTTTCCTGTTTTTAGAAAAAAAATGTTTAGCTACTGAAAGAAATATCATTTTGCATAATTCTAACATTCAAAATCTTAGCAATTTAATGGGTGAAACTGTTCAAATTGCATAAAGGAATACCTTAGGTTTTAACCAATCAGTTGACAGTTCATTCGCATCTGGGTCATTAATAGTTTTTATCGTACATGATTTTCCATCAACTCATAAAAACATGATATCTGATGCCTATGTGTTTTTTTTTGCCGAGGAAAACACCACTGGAAATATATGCATTTTTTTTTTTAAATTGTATACTTTATCAATTTAACTACTGTGTCATTTCTAAACTACCCACATGTGGGTTCCGGGATGAACAAGAATAGACCCACACTGCCTGCAAAAAGGCATGTCATAGGAGTCAATTAATTGGGAGCTTCCTTTGAAGTATATCTGCACGAAAGGCAAGGAACCAACAGTCTGAGTGCAAATTAGTTATCCTGTGAAATGAATGTGCACGCAACACTCAGTTTCTGGAACAGGACTGCAGCCCAGAAGTGGATGAGCAGCCAAAACTTTCCGCCGGAGTTTACAGCCGGTAAACGCGAAGAAGAAGATTATTTATAAACTACACTGGTAATTTTTCAGAAAAGTACTTAATAATAATATATTCTAATGCATGGATAGGGATAATAAAATGAGCAGAATTATATAAATCAGTCAGGGTTGGTTAAGCATTTAAAAAAACTGATGGGTTGTGGCAGGGAGGAGAGGGTTAAAAGAAACAAAGCAGCAGCATGCATACCGTCAGGTGAATCCACTTTTGTCTTCTCTATGATGTTCAAGAATTCAAACAAAGCAGTACAATAACAAGCAAAATTGTTAACTACATCTACAGCAAGCAAAGAATAAAAACAATTGAGCAAATGGATGCATGAATGAATACATGAATTAGTGTGACAAGTGAAAGTGACAGTATGTGCATTCATGTGTATACAACTGAAATACTTATGTAATAATTGTGTGTGTGTGTATGGCTATTTTATCATGACTGACAACTTATATCAACAACAAGCTGCTTTTCTGGTGTTGGCTTTGCAGCCTCTAGCAGCTGCCTTATTCATTTATGGCATGCATATATTTCTGGATTAAATGTTTGTTCACCAGTTTTTTTCAAATGGGACAGTAGGAGACATTTCATTTGAAAATCACTGGCACAGGAACCGAGCATGTATAGAGTGACCCTAATTACACTGACAACAACTTATATGCGTATAATTTTGTAGTCCTCTTTGTTTCAGTCCATGTCATACAGCACTGGTAATCATGTCTGTCCACAGTTTCTGTCTCGTCTACTGTCAATCATTTCTGACCCAGGTGATCCTTCATGCCTTGACGTCAAACTGCCTAGCATCTCCTCTCTTGTCCCCGCTGCCTTTCTTCCAGTCCAACTTTCCCGCTTTCATGATACATACTCTAGTTATCCCCTTTTCATGATGTGACCAAAGAAAGCATACAACAGTCTCCTAACATGGGTCCTGGAGGAAGGGAGGTGTGTGCATGGGCGTGTGTGCATGCTTGCATGCGTGTCTCTCTCTTGTGTACATTCAGGGCACTGCTAAAATTTTTTTTTTAAACTAGACACTTCTAAAAACAACAGAAAAATACAGCTAAAACCAAATTTAAAAAAATATTCGAAAAAAATACCACCTTCAATTACGTGTTAAGCAAAATTTGCAACCAAACTGAGAAATAATTAAAGCACAAAGAAACATGCCAGCTACAACAGTGTTAGATATGCCAGCAAACACATACATAGGCTGGTTACAATACTGTGGTGTTATACAAAGCAAATACAGATGTTACAACAAAAAAAGCTTGATATAATATGTCAACCAGAATAATCATCTGTGAAAATGTAGTCCTCTCTCTCTCTCTCTCTCTCTGTGACAGACATACAGCTTATGTTGTGAATGTAGACTTCAGACAAATCCATAGACACCTTCTTTTCATTTTTAATCTTTTCTTCTTGCTATTTCCCAATTTGCTGTCAGGTAGGATTTATCCAGTATGCTGATTATCTCATTTTTTATATTAACAGCTGCATATCTTTACTGCAAATACTGTGTTTCTCGTACTGATTACTATATTTATTAAAGTTCAGTTCACTAATTTCCATCCTCATTAGTGAAAGTATTCTTCCCCCCCCCCCCCTTTCCCTGCCCAATTTGTGACCCTTTTAAAATAAAGTCTGGGAAGACAACATCCGACAGTCCCTAATAGACAGAGGACTGCAATGGAACAAAGCCAGAAAGAAAACTGCTTACAGAGACGTCTGGTGATCTCTCTGGCAAACCTCTACACCCCAAGGTAGAAGAGGAGTGTCGAAGTAAAGTAAGTTAAAATAAAGTTTGTTTGTTCTCTCTCTCTCTCTCTCTCGCATGTGTGCGTACAAACACACAATATGATCCATACACTTAATCACAATGAATACACTTCATCCCGAAAGGCTGTGTGTGATGTTAGAACAAGCCCAGCAACCTCCTCTTGTCAAGCTGACAAAACTCTACACTGAAACACATCACAACTTCATGCCTTACTCAGCTGTTTCACCAGATAATCTATGACCTCACCTTTATTAGGATGTACCAACATCACCGTTCTGTCGCACTCATCCTCCCCATTCTCCTTGTGGCTCAGCCTGGCCCCAACAGATTTCTTATTTGACTCAATGTCACAAAAGTTTTCACATCTCTTTGACTTGGTTTGTTTCTAAATTGTAAACCAAAGATGGAAATGAGTCACAAACTACTTTCAGCACAAAGAAGAATATTAACTCTAATAAAATCTTCAGACTGTAACTACAATGCTGCTGAGCTACTACGACTACTTCTTCACATTCCGCGGTTGTAAGCTCTAGCAGAAAGTTCCTGTTGTTCCTCCCATCTCTGACAGCAGTCTTGTTCCCCAACCTGAGTGTAGGATTTTACATATCTGGCTTATTTGTATGCAGACTGTTGTTTCCTTGCCTGTCAGGCTTATGCATTCCCACTTCAAATGAAGCTCCCCAATTAGTTGACTCTTATGACCTATGTGCTAGCTGGGAGGTGGTGGATCAATTCTTGTTTCCCCAAAATGGAGCCCTGGAACCCATACAGGGACTGCTAAAGCCCATGCAGCACACCATGTGTGATTAGCTACTGAAGCTTGACTTCACTACACTGGGTTAAATCCCATCTGGCTCAGTCTCTCTCTGCTCTGTAGCTGGCCAAGGGAGAAATTGTTACACAGAATACATACATATTTCCTTAGCTCCTGAGACCCCAGCGATCACAGAAATAACTGCACCCATCAACCAACTCATGCAATTTGGAAATGAACCCTAAGAATTTCACAGCAGGAGGCGAACATCCAGATTCATTTTACCACAAAGACGTATTAAAATGTGAGTACCAGCCATGCACATGCAGCTAGTGTCTCGGCTTGGGAAGTGGAAGGCAAGCTTTGTAAAACACTCTTGATGGAGATGGTACTGTTATAGGAGAAAAGTGTTACACCCGCTTACCTCAGTCCAATATATTTGAGTCCTTTCCATGGCTCAGATGATGTCAGCACCAATACATGTGAGTTAAAAATGAGTACTCCAGATGTTCACAGTCATCAAACAACCAACGTTTTGTTATAAAGTAAAATTCACCACTTCACACACCAAATGTAAATTGGTCTATTTTTGAAAAATAAAACCTGTTGGCTCCATACACAGGAGCCAACTTTAGAAAAGGATCCATGCTTTACTTATGGTAAAAGTTGCTTCTTTGAAAAGTATAAATGCTTTTTTATTGTCTTGCTTCGCACGATTTTATAATGAAGTGAAAGGGGGTAGTGAACATCTAAATTTAAAATAAAAAATACTATAAGTGAAAAAAGTTTTAAAGGTCAGTTGTTTTCTTCTTTGCATTCACCAGCTGTAAACTCTTGTGGTAAGCTCTAATTCTGCGTGTGTCATATTTCTGGACTTTTTTCTTATTTCAGGACTTGAGTGTTGTGTGCACATCCATTTTACAGATCTAGCTTATTCTGTGCTGACTGCTGGTTCCTTGCCTGTAAGGCATCTGCATTCCGACTTAGTCGCCTTCTATGACATGCTAGTTAAGAAGCAGTGGGTCGATTATTTGGGATCCAATACAAACACTGGGTGGGGGGGGGGGGGGGGGGGGGGGGGGGGGGGGGGGGGGGGGGGGGGGGGGGGGGGCAAGGTTTGTTTACAAGCAATAACCTAAACAACAGTTACAAAAATGGGTTACCTTTGTGTTCCTGTTTCGCTTGATGACAGTGATGATAGTCAACAGCCGCTCAGTCACGAAGAAGAAGAGAATGCCAGCCAGGGCAAACAGACCTTTCCAGGCAGCAGCTGTGTGATTGTGCTCCTCTTCTGCCAGGGCTCCAGGCTCGTGTTTGTGCTCAGACGATGACATTATGGACTAGAGATTGTCATAAAGCTTATTATTTATGATGTGATTGACATTACGGATTAACAACATAGTGTTTCAGTTAAATAATTACACGTCGCATTCGTAGATCAAGAGAAAGCTTTAGATCGAGTTAACAGAAATAAATTATGGAAAGTACTACAGGATTATGGAGTAAACGAACATCTTATTATATTGTGCAAGAGTTTATACGTGAACAGTCAATGCATAGTTAGAACAAATAGAGGAATGTCAGAAAAGTTCTACATTAGATCTGGAGTCAGACTAGGGTTTCCACTACTGTTCATCACATAAACCGACCAAATTTGCAAATCAACTAACATCAGCGAATGGGACAACATTGGAGAATTACTAAATTAATTGCTTTTCACAGATGACCAGGCAATAATAGCACAACAGCAGGACAGCTACAAGAACATATTAATACTCCACTCAGAATGGGACAACTATGAGATGAAGATCAACGTAGACAAAACAGAAGTGATGACATTCTCCAGAAAAGTCAGAACCACCAATATCAAAAATGATGAACACCAGTTAAAGCAGGCGAAGGATTTTACATATCTGGGGAGCATTTTTTTTTTCAGAAGACAGAAGAATGAATACAGAAATCCAACAAATATGCAATAAAACCAGTCAAGTTTAGACCAAATGTCACCAATTTTGAAATACAAGCATGTGAATATGAACGCTGTTCAACACAATATTCTTACCAACGCCATGCTATCAATGTCAAACATGGATACTGTCTTCAGACTGAATGAAAATAGTCACGACTGAAATGAAAATGTTTATGTATTATGCTAGGTGTAACGAGGAAAGATCGACTTAGGAACGATATCAGGAGGATTATCAGCACAGAACCAATACTGAACTTTATATGCAGACAACAAATCAAATGGTTTGGCCATGTAACAAGACTGGCATCAGACAGCGCACCACAGAGAGCAATGTTATACAGATACAACGATAACAGGGTCAGAGTAAAATCATTAATAACCAAAAAATGCTGAGGGGTGGTTCTGCAACATCCTGTAAAGGATTGCAACATCCTGTAAAGGATACACAACTGACACAACTTCCCCTTGCTCTGATCTCAAGTGTGACAGCTGTCACTAAGTTTACCACTTTACTTCTCCCATTACAATGAACTAAAAATTTCCTAACAGTCTTTGAAGAAAGTAGCCTGTCAACGTTTTCCTTCTCTGAAGTGACACCAGCACTGTCTCTAGAGTGTGACGGATCCTCTGATTACAGTGAGAAATTTGAGATCACAACCAAAACTGCCTACTAGCTGCCCTTATGCTCTATCCACCACAAGCTCTCATGGTTCCACATCATCCTGGGGGGGGCAGCCTTAGTGTGTAATCCACCCTGGCTAAAGGTGCCCGCCTGGAAGGAAATGCTTGACTTCTAATTCTGAAAGGCAGCCCTAAATTTACTATGGCACCATCAAATAAACAAACATCAAGGCAAACACTGAACACAAACACTCACATGTGGCAACAAATGCAACAGAGCATCTCCAGACAAAGCTCCCACAGCCAGAGCCACCAAGAACTGCAGCAGATGATTGTAGAAGACCTTCTGCATGATGGGGATGACAGCAACTCCCAGCAGCCCCACCAGACTGATGACTATCACTGCTGCTGTACTGTATCCCCACACTACCAACGACAGCAAATCAACAGTTAACCCCAATGGACAAGGACATTGCAAAAGGAGTTCCTTTTTAAGTAAATGCTTATTTACATGTTTACGAAACAAGTAACAATCATTCCACAATTACACATGTTGAATTCTGTACAGGACACTACTATTTTTTTGCGCAAACACTGTAAACTCCAGTGGAAAGTCTCCTGGCATAAGTGTATGCAGACTGTTGGTTCCTGTCCTTACCTCAGTCAGATGCACTCCGACTTTGAAGCAAACACTACTATTTGCCTTTTACAGGTTTAATGGGTTTATCCCCCCCCCCCCCCCACACAGGGACCACCCCAGAACACAGACTTGGAGTACAGGAAACAACTTCTTAAAGAATCTTTTCATGTAAGCGGTGCACAGAACACATAATGAGAGAATCCTATTTGTACAGGTCAACTGGCAGTGGGCATCTGTCAATATCACACCAGCCGCCTTTACTTCCCAGGACATTTCAATCATTTTAGGCTGAGTCAACTTTGAAAGCCGCCAAGGTCTATTACAGACAACCCACATGGGTGTAGATTTGAACCCAAGACCTGCAAGCTACCAGGCAAGCATCTAGTGTCTGTGCTGTAGCAGCTCCCAATGATCATTTTCATTTCAGACTTTCTACTTTCACACCACAAAACTCCTAATGTCCCTAGGGCAGTACCTCTGCACTTTATTTTGTATGGTCCACATAGAGAATTCGTGCAAATGCCTTAAAATAAGTGTGCTGTTTTACTTGTCTGGTTGCAATGAAATCATCAACACTTTCCAGCTGGTACACGAGTTTAAATAACTCAAAACAATGGCAAATGTCAAGCAGCGAAACAATTATCCAAAAAAGAATAAATACACAAAACTTAACACATACTTGTGCTAATGCTTCTTGGTTATTCCTAAAATGAATTTGTGATTCTTCTTTTCCCCCTGCATTTGCCCTTGAATGGGTAGTTGGCGCACTGTGTTGTGGTTTACAGTTTGTGGTATCTGCAAGTTTTAGCCCAACACATCTGCTTTCTGCAAATCCTTCATTAGTCACACTGTAGGACATGCTTGTTAAAGGGTAGTGGGTCTTCTCTTCCTCAAAAATGGGGCCCAGGAACTCACATGGAGAAATGTGTGATGTTATGTTCTTTGTAGTCTTTCTTTCCCACCAACTGTGTGTATAGGTTAAAGGTCACAAAATCAAACTCTTGTCAATACTGGGTATATGATGCCACATCCAGAGGCTTGAGCTTGATGAGTGATGATGTCAACATCATGCTGTTTCCTCTTCACTTCCCATAAAATTTCCAGGTCCTCATCTGTACTGGGTCACCCTGGGAGCATATCAGTGGCACCAAAATCATCTCTTTTGAAAGGATATGTGCCGCATAAAACATGAAGTCCATAACCCCAGTAACAGCCTAGTTTAAAAACAAACCTACAGCTTTCAGAGCATGAAGTAAACGTCTAAACCACAACACTATGGAGACCATCTCCCCCCCCCCCTCCCCTGAATCACAAATACAAGAAAATATCCAAAAGAAAACTTAACAAAACAGCTAATGTAAGAGACTGACAATCAAATTACATAAATCAAAGATGTAAGTAAAAATACAGGACTATTTTCATACAAGTAGCAGCAAGTCCTCAACCGTTTGCACATATTTAAAATATTAACTTCCCTGTGTGGATTCCAGGGTCTTATTAAAGGGAAAACAAGAACTGACCCATTGCCTACCCAAAAGCATGTCGTTTGAGTCGACTAATTGGGAGCTTGCTTCGAAGTCAGAGTGTATCTCCTGAAAGGCAAGGAACCAACAGTCTGCATACAAAAAAGTCAGATCTGTAAAAACAGCTGCACACTCAACACTCAGGTTCTGGAATAGGACTTAAGTCCAGAAATGGACGAACAGCTAGAACTTTCTGCCAGATTTTAAAGCTAGTGAACCCGAAGAAGAAAAAGATACTAAAGAAAAAAATGGCGTCAAGACCCATCTGCAATCAATGGGTGCTATAACCCTGCAATCAATGGGTGCTATAATCCTGCAATCAATGGGTGCTTTAATCCTGCAATCAATGGGTGCTATAATCCTGCAATCAATGGGTGCTGTAATCGCACTTGTCCTTTACTTTGCAAGAGGAAACAAAATTTTAATTTTTATACAGAAAAAAGAAAACAGAAGAAAAAACTGTACAGCACTCACCCACAGCGGGAATTTTACTGACATCAAACTTGGACAGGTCAACCTCTGCATGCAGATCGACTTTCTCTTTGTCAGTTGACTGGTAAAGCTGACCAGGCTGGCTGTCTCCCGAACTGTTAGGAAGATGATTAATGTCCCCACGGTGAGATCTGCAAACATCTAAATCCAGCTGGTAGACCAGTGCTGGACAAAGGAATGAGAACTGTTGCGGTGTCAGGCTGACGTACTTGGCTAGATGGAATGCTTCCAACAGCTCATTCACAGTAAGACACTGCAGAAAACAACACATATTCAATTATCTATTTTATACAATATAAAACAAAAACACCACAGGATATGATTACAGCCATTTCTTCTTCTTCTATGTTTTCTCTTAAAAATGCAGTTGGCACGTTGCATTGCGTTTAAGCTAAACTGTGACACCTGCACCTTCTTGTCCAACATATCCAATTTCAGCAAACCATTAATTAGTTTACTTTTATGGCATGCTCGTAAAGGGGCAGTGGATTTTTTCTTCAAAATGTGGAGCAAGAATCCATTTAATTCTCTCTTACATAACTACAAAGCTGCCATCATCATCATCATCAAGTACGTTGCCAAATGGCATAGCCAGTCAAGCATTTCTACACCTTGCAATTTTCGGCAGCTTGTTTCAATTCTTGTGCAGACAGCTTTAAATGCTGTAACTTAATGCCATCCTGAATGTTCTCGCAATGTCTTCTCCTTCCTCTTTTTTCATAAAACTTTCCAATGGCCACAATATGTTTCAGTTTTTCTCTTTTCAATGTGCAATTAAAAAAAAATTTATAATATCGTGATTTGATAAGTTGGCTTTGTGCACTAGCTTTTTTCAGAACATTTAGATTACTCATTTTGCTGTTAGAGGGATCTTCTATTCTCCTGTAGACCCATATATGTTAGGCCTCAAAGGATAGCTTGTTTACTCCCTGCCTAGGATTCAGAATCATATATTAAATCTGGCTTTATTTAATGACCAAAAATGAGATGTACCAAACTGCAGCTTTAATTCTTTCAGTTCAAGGAAATGTATAATAGGTAAACAGGTTACTCTCTATTTCATGCACATATCTATACTCTTTCAGTTTCCGTCATTAGATATGTTCACCTGTTCTATATCAAGTATTACCATAACTCCTTCTGTCTCAAAGCTGTATTGTTCAATTCCATAAGACTTACAATGTGTTGTTCAAAGGTACACAAGCAATGGGACAGACAGTCGTAAGTTAACAGGAACCTGGCATTACATTTTTAAAAATCAGATTTTCAGTTTAACTCTTTAATGAAATACACTTGATATGGTCTTAATTCAGTCTCAAGACAGTCTTTACATCAATACTTTATAATGAAAAGCTGCTAAACTTTGCACTAAAAGGGGGGATATAACAGCCCCACTGCCCCTTGAACAAGCATGTTGTTAAGGGCATTAATTAGGGGTTTGGTGAAGGTGAAAAAAAGGATGCATTAAGTTGAAGGCGAAGATATTGCAGCCAAGCTGTAAACCACAAAATAATGTGCCAACTTTCTACTTAAGTGCTAAGACCAAAAAAGAAGAAGTTTAATCTTAAATGGCCTGGTCACTTCTCACAGAGCAGCAGGTCACCTGCCAAAAGCATGTCACAAAGTACAAACACGCCCACAAACTCATGACCTTCAGAACATGCAGCATACGGTCTAACCACTTCACCATGGAAACCCACATTTAACAAACGCTCAGAAACAGCATCCCATTTGTCAAAGTGAAATATTCTGCTCACACACAAAAACATTGCAGTGGTTAAAAAAGAACTGTAATAGTAATGGAAGGAATAGTTTCTGGGGTAGAGGGAGAGAGAATCAACTAACATGACAGTGGCACAGAAAGTTTTTTTTTTCTTTTTAATCCTTGATCCTTACTAAGAATAGAATACATGATCCATGATGAATTAGGCAGACATCTGTACCATATCAGCACCATATCAAGTTACCTAAATGATTTTCTGAGGATATTTTCCTGTGCAAACTCCTACTGCAAAACAGGTTAAAGTGAATTATTACTTTTCTCAAGCAACTACAGTTTGCATTAGTTTTTTCACAGAGATCTCATGTTCAAATGTGATTTTACTAAAACAAGCATGTGGCACTTGGGGGACTTTGGGGTAATGCCAAATACATGCAGTGTGTCCACCAAGATCTCCTATTCTTATATAAGATCACTGGGTTGCCAACTGGATATGAACACTTCTCAAGTCACACACCAACACTGTAAACTACCAAACTAAGCCATTTGTTTCACATTGAGTTTCAGATGAACATCTTACCTCACTGTGTGTGGAATGAATGTGTTGAGGTTCATATGATCTTTCACTTCTTCGAGATTCTGTGGGAATAAATGTTAAATTAAATTATAGCAATTTTATTACAAATACTGTTTCAGGTGTTTGCGAATGTTAGCAAAGTAACTGACCCTTTTACATGCCTTCAGACATATTGGGTATATAGGACCAGACCTGTATTACATACATATATATATATAAATCAACATTAAATCAGCCACCTTTACTTCCCAGGAATGTACCTCGTACCCATTTAAGGCCAGGTCGACCCAGGAGCCAAAGCCATTTCTGAAAAAAAAAAGTCAGCCTCCATCAGGGCCCAAACCCACGACCTTCCAGTCCGCAGGAGAGCAAGCATCTAGCTGCTACACCGCAGGGTGTGATATGTTAATTTTCATATGAAATGATGCACAATTAAAGTTTGCACATTAAATTATACAGATGAATAATTCATATCACGGAATCCAAGAGATAAAAAGTTGTTTAAAAAATCTGATTTTATAGAGGACAGAGATGAATATCATAGCAGGAAAAGGGTGAAAGAGATGAAGTGATACAAACATGCTTATACAGATGAGCAAAAGAGGTATCATGGAGCCACAAGAAAAGAATATTATAAGAAATGTGGCTATAAGAGAAGCAGAAGAAATACGATGCCAGAACAAGAAAAAGCAACAACAATAAAATTAAGTATTACAAATATATGGTTGTGGTTATATAGACAGGTAGGAGGCAAATGCATGGATAGGTGTCAACACACAAATTGTTACATTCAGCTCATTATAGACTGTGGAGAAGCACTCTTGGCCATGCCAGCTGGCAGGGCGTTTGATGATGATGATGATGATGAGCAGTTATCATGGAGGCACCAGAAAAAGTATAAACATGTGGTTATATAAATGATAGAGCAAAATAGTGTACGAATAGAAAACAAACAATAAAGTGATTCCAAAATAGGGTTTGTAGCGACAAGGAGGAATATTATAGCACAAGAAAACAAGCATAGAGTTTTAAATATGTGACTAAGTAGATATAAGGAATATCACAACATGAGGAGAGAAGAAAATAATCACAGCAGGAGGAGAGGAGAAAATAATCACAGCAGGAGGAGAGGAGAAAAGAATCACAGAGGGAGGAGAGGAGAAAACAATCACAGCAGGAGGAGAGGAGAAAACAATTACAGCAGGAGGAGAGGAGAAAATAATTACAGCATGAGGAGAGGAGAAAAGAATCACAGCATGAGGAGAGGAGAAAACAATTACAGCAGGAGGAGAGGAGAAAAGAATCACAGCAGGAGGAGAGGAGAAAACAATCACAGCAGGAGGAGAGGAGAAAACAATCACAGCATGAGGAGAGGAGAAAACAATCACAGCAGGAGGAGAGGAGAAAATGATCACAGCAGGAGGAGAGGAGAAAAGAATCACAGCAGGAGGAGAGGAGAAAATCACAGCAAGAGGAGAGGAGAAAATAATTACAGCAGGAGGAGAGGAGAAAATCACAGCAAGAGGAGAGGAGAAAATAATTACAGCAGGAGGAGAGGAGAAAATCACAGCAGGAGGAGAGGAGAAAATAATTACAACAGGAGGAGAGGAGAAAAGAATCACAGCAGGAGGAGAGGAGAAAATAATTACAGCAGGGGGAGAGGAGAAAAGAATCACAGCATGAGGAGAGGAGAAAATGATCACAGCAGGAGGAGAAGAGAAAACAATCACAGCAAGAGGAGGGGAGAAAACAATCACAGCAAGAGGAGAGGAGAAAATCACAGCAAGAGGAGAGGATAAAACAATCACAGCAGGAAGAGAGGAGAAAACAATCACAGCAAGAGGAGGGGAGAAAATCACAGCAAGAGGAGAGGAGAAAATGATCACAGCAAGAGGAGAAAAATCATTGAGGACAGAGCATGTATGGCAATCCCCAATGTAAAGTGAAATGGATGATAACTTAGTTAAAAACTTACCACTGGACTTTCCAAGTCCAAGTTTGTGCACCAAGTTTTCCAGCTCTGTTGGGGTAAGGCCCTGATCATTGCCATAGTTGGTGAAGATCTTCTTTATAAAAAAGTTACTTTCTTCATAAGTCACAGCATCTATGGTTACATTGAATGTTAAGCTGACAGATCCATTCTCTTCCTGTGAATGATACACAAACATTTTTCTGCATTTACTCACTTCACCAACATGCATCAATATTATAAATACTTTTCTTGCCGCTTGGGTTCGCCTCCCACTACAAGCAGGTCAAAAAAGTCCACTAACTAGGGGCTAACTTCTACGTCAAACTGCATCTGCCTGAAAGGTAAAGAACTAACAGCCAGGAAATCAATAAGCTAAACCTTAAAAATAGGTGTGCAAGCAACACTCAGATTCTGGGACAAGACTAAAGTCTGCATAGAGAGAGGTGGACAAACAGCCAGAACTTTCTGCCTGAGTTTATAGACGGTGAATGTAAAGAAGAAAATGAACAAATTTGACCACAGTGTAACTAGAATGTTTTTTTACTGGAACCTAGTGTTATACACTAGGAAGAGAAAGACAGAAATACACAGAAAAGAGAATTAGAGACATATAAATGGTATGGGAAGCACAAGAAGAAAAGCTGCAGGAAATAATTTTTGTTTTAATGGCAGCTCAGGGTGAATTGGTCTGTCAGAGCTTTAGAAACCTTTTGTATTAGTGACACGCGTTTTAGACAAAAATAATTTCATGACACAGTAATTCAGACTGCTAGCAAATCATAAGCTAAATTAACCCCTTATAAGACATACGGACACACGCTTTTTTATGTTCACGAGATACACCTTCACACAGCAGCTGCTGACACATTAATGTGTTGCGAATACACAGCAAGGAAATCGCTGATCTACGTCACTTGGGAGAAGGGGGATTAGGAGGAGATGAATAAATTCTTTTATAAAAAATTATAATACAGTGGTGGCCATTTCTGTGCCATTCTGATTTATTAAGGACATACCAATACAATTACAAACACATATTAAAGTGACATACTGTGATTATAATGATACAATTGTATGCTTCATTATAATGCTAGCTGGGTACCAGGGAACGCATCACATGTTAATAAATAACTAATTAAACTGTCTACTTAAAAGTTAGTTGCTATCCTTTACAGGACTTTACAGAACCAACCCCAGCATTTTTTTGGCTGCTGTGTGGTTTTTCTAGGCAAATTTTATGTTCAGTAGTTTGCAACTGTCTAGCACCGAAAGAGTAAAGACAGAAACAACTGAGGATGTTGCACAAGACTCATCTTGACGAACAACAAATGCTGCTTTATATCTCAAAGTGAAACATTTTGTTGGGTGATTGGTATAAAAATGAATATAGTTTTATATAAGAATGGTGAAACAAACAGGAACGAAGCTGGGAAAGAAGCAGTTTTAAACTACACCAAAAGATGAAACATCTCGGGCATGTCATGAGAAGGCGGAGAACGGGGGTACACCATGACAATGTGACGGTTGGAGAAGGAGAGAGAGGCAGGGGCAGATCAAGACAGAAGATGAACAGTTTAGTGGCATGCCATGGAAGAACATTTGCATCACAAATGACTGACAGTATATCTTCCTACCCCTAGCAAACAAACATGCAGAAGCGAGCCAGAGTGAAATGAAACAGATGGGGGGGACATGGGCAGAAAGAAGATATGAGACAGAAGGCTGTGGAGAGACATGATGACCAACACCACACAGCATGGAATACAGTGAGATAGCCTAAACACAACTCACCTGGTGTGAGTGTGCATGCCAAGAACTGTTCTGAGGTCCAACACTGCCAGCAGCGGCCACAGGTAACGACCCTGACTTCACAAGCACCAGGACTGCAAGGGAACAGAGCAGACTGACCTCCTGGTACCACACAGCTATGTCTACACCACATTTTTCTTGATAGATTATGTTCCTCTTTTGTCTCTTGATGTTCCTTGTTTATTTTTATCTTTTCTTTTTTTTAATTTATTTATCTATTGAAGCTATCCATCTTTGCTACGATTATGGATAATTGTGTAAGATAATTTAGCTCTCAGCCTGGATATAACACAATTAAATCTTTAGTTTACACATAAGTAACACAAGAATATGTCCTGGGAATATGAACTCTGAAACTGATTTTGTTTGAATGGAGACCGCTCTACTGCTTTCAATAAGAGCACATCTGAAATAAAATTAACAAAATTAACATGAGCATGTTTTTGTTTTATTTCAATGACACACAAAAATGACTGCTGTGTTTTTTCAGACACATGGAGAACAAAGATATAAATTATATTACAGTAAATTTGGCATGCGTGATTTAAATGGTGGTTGGCGCAGTGTGTAGTGGTTTAGTCAGAATGTGATTCTGCAGCTTTCGGCCCAACACAGCTCTAATTTCAGCAAACTATAGTCGCCATATATGACATGCCTGTTAATGGACAATGGGGTCCCCCCAAAAGGAGGGACAGAACCCACATGGGGAACTACATGATATGAATGGCTGCTGTATTCTCAGTATTATCAAGACTTGTGAATACACCTATTTGTCAAGCCTTACATATTTTGTATCAGCCATGCGGAAATTTTAATACAGGCTGACAATGTAAATAATTAGTTGGAATTTTTAAAATTCCCTTAAAACCCTACTATACACAAAGCAGACAAAACAGACACTCTTCCACTGTTTATAATACATTTGTGATAACACAAAGGTACAAGAGTAATCAGAGGAGATGGGACCTATCCGACACATGTTTGTATATGATTGGTTACAGACCCTCTGGCAGACTGAGTCTCAACTTTCAAGTCTGATGCATCAGAGGTCATCACAACCCTGACATGGGCTTGCATCTATAAGAGTGGGGTTGGTGTACTGACTGTTTTCTAGGCCCAGTACCAAAATAAATTCACTGGAAGTTTCTTTCTCTTCTCAAGCTCCCATTTTGTCAAACTATTCAATACCTTCTATTCTGACAGGCGCTAGTGAATAAATGTTTGTGATTTACTAGTAAGTGTTTTTGTCATTCTCCATGTTTCTGCTCCATACAAAAGTACTGATTTAATACTGTTCAGTATTACCTTTGTACTTGGTTAAATTTCTGTTATCCATGGATGTCTTAGTGTTATTAAAAACCCCTCTGGCCTTTCATACTTTTTTTTTTAAACTATTATGTTCTCATATCTTGGTTACATGTATGTCTAAACAGGTGCAAGCTTCCCCTTCTTAAAGTGAGGTTTCACCACTAGAAATTGGGATACGTCTGAATATAACCTACTGTGCTTGAAAGGACACCTCTAACTGAATATAACCCATTGGGCTTGTAATGATACCTCTAACTGAATATAACCCACTGTGCTTGTAAGGATATCTCTAACTGAATATAACCCACTGTGCTTGTAAGGATACCTCTAACTAAATAAAACCAACTGTGCTGGTAAGGACACCTCTAACTAAATATAACCCACTGTGTTTGTAAGGTTACCTCTAACTGAATATAACCAACTGTGCTTGTAAGGATACCTCTAACTGAATATAACCAACTGTGCTTGTAAGGATACCTCTAACTGAATAAAACCAACTGTGCTTGTAAGGACACCTTTAACTAAATATAACCCACTGTGTTGTAAGGGATATTAATAAAACCAGTATGCTTTAAAAAACTGAATATGTTGAAACTCCTCCGTTGTTAAAATTGTGACACTCCCCCTCCCAAATTAGGTTAAAATTCTACCCTTACAGGGCCTCAAAAGATATGTAAAATTATGATTTAGTTCCAGCAAATGTGACAGGCAGACCATCAGCTCTGACACAAATTGGCAATAATGTTCTACCGATTGATGGCATCTATGATCATGCGGTTGTTGTTCATGCTACTAATTTTGTTGACAGCATACACAGTGAAATTCACACCCAAACAATTAAAAGGTTGTGGATGCAACTCAAACGGAAGCAACACTACCAAGGTGGGACCAAGTGTGCATTATTTACTTCATATTTAGAGGAGTTTCAGTAGCGGCACAGTCACAAAGGCCATGTTTTCGAAGAGTAAATATTAAGCTTTCGTGCCTGAATTTCAAGATATAACTGTTACTTATTACTAAGTGTAAGTATGTTCATTGTTATATTATACTTCCTACTTTTTAGTTATATTAGATGACCTGGCTCTGTAAGGGTAGGATTTTGAATTTTGACCTAGATAATTTAGGGCAGTTATTCAGAGGAGTGCCAAAATTGCAAAGATCCTTCTGCCTGGTGTCACTATTTTAAATGTAGACTGGGATACAGATATTTATTAATTTTAATAACAGAATTAAAGTAACATCCCTCTTATCAGTAGACAAGAGATGAAGTGAAGGTATCAAAAGAGGTTCTTGTCCGTCTAACATAGCATTTTTTTTTAAACAGACAGTACACAATAGATTCTGTTAAGAAAAGGTGTGAAGCAACATGATCGCCCATGCGTTTGAAAAGTGGTGATGCCATATTAAACGATTTAATATAATTATATTATATTACAAATGCCCTTTTTGAAATTAAACCTTGTTGTGAATTAATATATTAACAATAAATTTTTTTTATTAAAAACTACATTTATATAAATTCTACAAAACAAGAGTGATTCTCAGTTAGTGAGGCCTTTTTCAAAAAAAAAAAAAAAAAAGTTAAAAATTCATAGCAGAAGGAGAGAATCAATGAAGAATGTTGACTGTCTGTGAACCTAACAAACTCTGGTACCTTATTTGTCACTGATTAATTCTCTTTCATCAACAAGTTGTACAAGCTATGTAGTTAATCGACTCCCCGTCATAATTCGCAACAGAAGAAAACAGTACCACCATTTGTCAAGAAGACAACAATGATCAGACGACAGAACCGTTCTGAGAACGAACGATGCCCGAATGTCCCTTTCCACAACAAAGATAAGGACTCCGCTTGCGTGGCAGTGCATGACGATGAGAATGATTTTATTTTGCACACCTCAGAGAAAAATTGCGATAAAAGATTTGTCTAAACTGAGAGGAGAATGGAATGAATGGAGGTTAGATGGAAGGCAGCCGTGCCTAGATCGACTGGTAGTGGTGGCAGAAATGAAAAACATACCCACGTGCAAAACAGTAACGGTTATTTTAGTGTCGTGTGCAGGCAGGGAGACTTTTTCCCTTCCAAGATGGCGGTGGCCTGGCTGATTCTGG